ACACGCTCTCTTTAGGTTTCGAACCTGTTTAAGATGCATATCATCACCATGGCACTAAAAACAACATCCCAGCCCTATACTGGGATTGTTACCATAGCAACAGAAAAAAAGTAGGTTCCAAACTGTGAGGTGACAACTGTTCAAACACGACGATAACACCCAATAAATAAAAAAATGAATTTAAAATTTTCAGATGGAGATGGAGTCAAACACTTAAGCCGCAACCACACACGTGTTAACATTAGTATGTGTTTTATTCTGCATTACTTTTCCATTTATAGTACATATGAGCATACTTGTAACAATAATATGGTATCTTATTAATGTGCCTTGACAAGTAGCACAGGAAAGCTGTATATACCAGGGAGTCCTGTGGGCATTTCAAGCAGGTCTATTGTATGTCTGAGTGCAGCGCCTGCATGGGAGGTAATTACTGGGCCTGAGACCTTAACAGGAGGAGTGCGTGAGAATAAGATACTTTCCCTGGGTAGGTGTTTTAATAGGAGTACTGGGGATAGCGTGACACAAGTTCTCTCCTGAGACCTGCAGCACCTCTCCCAGGTAACAATCTCACCTGTAGCAGCAAATCAGCCCGTGCAATATTCACTTAATGAATCACGCAATTGTGCATTATCAGAGCTCCAACAGTAAGGTGAACTGAAAAAACACATAAAAGATGACATTTTCTTACTCGAAAGTGGAGATACTCAGACAGTGGGCTTGGTAGTCTCTCTTCTCAAGCCATTTTACATGATTAATAGGGTAGAGAGCAGGAGTTGAAACTGCAATTAAAGGTGTCTCCCATCAGAAGGAGAAGCCCCTTTCTGGTAGTCAGCTAAAGGAGGACCGAGGGGAGCAATGCTCCACCAGAGAAGTCATTATTTCTCCACCATCCTCTCTGCTCTATGGAATACATTAACTTCACAGTGTCGCTGTGTCTAAGCCAGAGTGCCCTCAATGCTTGTTTTTTTAAAGGGATGCATGCAATTAGAAGAAGGGAAAGAATAAAGTGCTTGGAATAGTCCATAACACAGAGATTGAGTAGAAGCACAAAACAAGCTCAGTGGGCCCCTCGGGGCCCTGCCTGAGACTGAGGAGTACCTCTGATAGTCACCGTCACCGCTGCTCATTGACAACAAGAAAGGAAGAAAACAACTGCGGAGCCTCCATTTCAGAATAAATGGCTTCTTAAAAATGTACAGATGGATTTCCAATAAGAGACATCCGCCATTGTTTGTGCAGAAAAATAAATAATACTTCCTTTGTGGGGGATAAAATACCTTAACAGCATCAAAGAAAAATCTAACTCTACTTTAATATTCTGTGCAGATATTACACGGGAAAATGTATTAGCATGTTTTACAGAGAAGGTGCCGCACACCCACGTCTTATAAACTTTGTTCCAATTCTTCTTCTGTATGGATTACCCTGCTGCACAGACGAACTAAGGATCATTACATCCGTAATTCCCTGTTTTGCATAATGTCATTGTGAATATTTCCCTGGACTTGACTTTCAGCTACAGTGCAATTAATTATATATACGGACATACTTTTCCAGGGCACGCTATCATGTACAGACAAGTCTTATATCCTTGTGGAATACTTGTTCAAGTAGCCTCATGAATATGCGTCACCTTAGAAAAAGGGAAAGCGATTGTGGAGAATCATAATTGGAGAAACGGCAGAAACATTATTATGGATCTAGTCCTGCTTCCATGTGCGCTACAGTAATGAGCCTGAGGAAAGTGATTGTCGTACATTTGATGGTTCGCTGACTTCACAGTCATTGTCTTTATCTGCGATAGAAAGGAGAGGCGGAGGGAAGGATCACAATTCCTTTGAGGTGCATTTAAATCATAGTCTCCACATATTACTCAGAAAATTCCCTCTTGAGAGTGTGAGCTGAGATGGCGTCCTTCAAGCCCCGCTGGGTTTCCTGTCATCATGAAATGGGAGCAGGAGATTAGGGGGGTAAGGGATGTAGAGGATGAAGAAGGAGGGGGGTAAATACTGAAATCTGGTCTAATCCCATATCATACAGCTGAAGATACACTCCTTCTAAGACATTTGTGCTCAGAGCTGAGGTAACTGAAAGGAATGAGGGGAATACCAATGGGAATCAGCTGTATAATAAATAGTTTGCAAATTATGCATCTCTGGATATTCAATAATGGAAATCAACAGTTTGTCACACTCATTCAATACATTTACTTTAGGAAATAAGACAATTTGGCCATTATGGGAGAAACTAACGAGCTCCTAACACAATGTTATAGCAAATTAGGCCACAGAGTGATTATATTATAATATTATTCCATACGATGGTATGGATCCACTAAGGGCACAGTTCAACCAAACAAGGTTTTTGCAGGTGACTGGCTGAGTGCTGCTATTCTTGCATAAAAAACGCATCAAAGTGGCAATTTTGCACACCTCATTGTGTTTAATGGAGTGCTGTAAAACACGTCCTTTCCAGTGTAATTAATGAAGAGAAGACAGAAGCGTGAAACACATATCTAAAAGGTTTGTAGTATTTCCAATTTCATAATGTATTGTGATTTAATTTTCTGCTATTTCTTCCATTTAGCTGCAGCACACGGGTTGGAAAACATCCCTTATGACAGTTGAATATTATGAATGTTAAGTCTTTTAAAACATACTTCAAATAATGTCAATTCTATTATATTTATGTTATTTTTTTTTTATTTGACATACTATCTTAATTCAGTTCTTCATTTTTAACTCTTCCACAGAACCAAAATCTTGTAATGCATTTCCATCAGGAGTTATTTGTGTATCTAACGGTCCCGTTGCTCATCTTCACGTTCATATGTCTCCCCTCCGTCTCTTTAAAACCCCTTTTTACTCTCTCATGCTTCTCTCATTTTCTAATGAAATGCAACATTTCACAAAGCCCCCAGATTAATGTGCGGAAATAAACAAATAAGAGGAAGCATTCAGAGCAGCCGCTGATGCGAGAGGAGAGGGGATTCTCACAACCCACTGCCCCTGCTGTAAGAACATGCCTTATCAACAGTTTCTCCCTGTAAAATGTCAATGGAACGCTACACATTTCATCAACAAGGCTGTGCATGCTTCTGCTGTAAGATGCATGATCTCTTAACCTTGTTATTCCATGCGAGACTCCCCGCTCTCACCTCACCTGTCTGTGCAGCTCAGGTCTTTCACCTCTAACATTCAGCACTAGTGCAACCTAAAGCCCAGCGTGCAGGCTGAGGCTGTCTTCTTAAGAGATGTTTCCATTAAGATATTACCTGTGAATTTCCTCAGCAAACCTCTCTTTGTGTTTCTCTTTGGCTCCGGTCCAAGAAAGAGAAAGGCTGTAATGTAACGCACTATACCCACAGCATCTTTTAAAAAGTGTTCACATGCTACAGCTGCGGTGCACCAGGTGAAAACATTCACCTCTTGTCACAAGGGCCCTGGATGAGAATGAACTACATGGTATTTAAATGAATTGCAAAAGCTTGTTAACTGTTCAGAAATGAGTTAGCAAGTCTGTGTGGTGTACAAGCAAGTGAGTAAATTTGTATGTATATTAATTCAGCACTGCATCGAGATGAGCTACCTAGCAAAAGCTGTTTTGCTTTTTTCTTTTTTTCTTTTTTTTTTTAAAGAGCCCTGTCTATGCAAATCGTTGGACAGGACAGGTTTCATCACACATGAAAATAGTGTATAAAGGAAATCTCGCCTGTTTCATCCTCGTTCAGGTGTTTCGTGCAGGTGGAAAGGAGCCCAGAAAGCAGCAGAACACACGGCGATCGCAGAACATTTACACATCTGAGTGAGCACATCTGTCCTTTTAAACCCGTATTCCAATTTATGTTCTTTTGAACATCTTGTTTGTGTCCCTTTGTGGCATTTACTGACGAACGTTGCATGAAAAAGGTTGTATCATTTTAAATTGGCCGGTTACCCCTAGATTAAAACTAGGGGCTAAAAATCACTTCAACTGGCCTGGAGGCTTGGGGGGAGGAAAAAAAATAAATAAATAAACATGGCAAAAAAAAAAAAAGCAGCTCCACACGGAGCAAGTATGGAGGTGTCTCATAAGAACAACATCACGACTGCTGTGTGTCCTCAGGACAGGCCTGCTTATGTCACTGTGTACTTACTGTATGTGTGAATCTGGGTGTGTGGGCAGCTGGGGTTGAGGCAAACTTCAAGACCTATTTCATGTTTGTATGTGTGTGTGTGTGTGTGTGTGCTGGTCTGTAGCGTTCTTGTATGTGTGTATATGTACGTGCGATGTTCCTGTAGGCTCCTGGCTAGCATCAGTGTTGTTGTCAGTAAATGGGTGCTAGCAAGAGGAAGGTCATGTGGTAGCCAGCAGAAATTATGTCCAGGACAAAGATGCACTGTATGGAACCAACCCTTATTACCACACAATTTCCCTCATCTCTCTCTCTCTCTCTCTCTCTCTCTCTCACACACACACACACACACACACACACACACACACACACACACACACACACACACGCGGTGAGCAAGCACGGGCTCCTTTTTTACCACACACAACATTAACATACTTGTTGTACTTGCCATTAAATGGTGACTTCCTCCTTCTTTTGTGGTTATAGAATTCAACACAGTTACCATCACCATTAAAGCCCCTGAAAACTCGGCTTCAAATCTGATCCTGTATTTCTCTACGATATCAAACACTCAAGACTAAATGAGCAACAAAAGTTTGAAAAACATCTTTCATAAAGAGTTGGATCACCACCAACCAACTGGCGGTCATCAGATCCTGATTCAAATGCTCCTAAACCTGCAAGTAATTGACATCATCTTTTTCCAACCTAGTCCCGCCCACTTCAAATCAGTGAGAAAAGCACAAAGAAAAAAAAACTGAAAAAAAAAAACCAAAAATGTGAAATGTATTAAACTCTTAGTAAGAAAATACGACTCAGGGGCTTTAACCTAACCTACAGTGTGTTATTCAGTGTATTCGAAAGTGTGTTCTTGACTTACGATGTGGAGCTTCAAGAAGTCTCCGAGACCAGAGGAGCTATCCACCCTCACCAGGACAGCATCCTTCAGGTGCGTGCTGAAACCAATGGCTAGCCGGTCTGCCCTCGTGCTGGGACGGTCATTTGGCGGCCACGTGTATGTGATCAGTCCACCATCTCGCCCAAATATGTACGTTGTTCCCGCTGCAGAAGAAAAAAAAAAAAAAAAAAAAGAAGAAAGAAGATGTTAACAGTGTATCCCCAAATAACAACCAGATGTGAACCACCGACTGTCAACACAAACATTATTACCACAGCAAAGCCGGCATTGATGCCGTGTGTGTACAGAGCACCGTCAGTCTGGAGTGTTATATTGTGCTGAGTAATGACTTTGCAAAGCTCTGAGCAACATATCACTCTTGAACAGCTCTCAGCTCCGTCTGGGGGTTTAAGTACACTCATGTCAATTCATGAGTCTGGGAAAATTCAACGGAAATTAGGGAGGCAGGTACCGCTTTCCTCATTATGCTGCACAATTACTCAGTTTTACTGCCACTGCCTGCTTCACCTCTAGAGGGAAGAGATACAAGTGAGTTCGCAGTCACGTCCCCTCGGTGCCAGGGTAACCAGCATGGCAAAATGGGGCACCTCCCCATCTCTCGTGCTTCATTAGCAGCCTCAAAGGCAAGTGCAGCAAGCAACATTATTGACTGACTGGTCCAATTATGTCCTTCTTGTGACCTCCAAACCAGCTATTTCCTGTCTCGCCGCATTACCTCATTGTCTCTAGAAGCTGTATGAAAAGGTTTGAACATGACCTGGTGGATGGGAGAGTGGTTCTAATTACCCGGCTATTCAGTGAGAAGAAGCCTTGCGGCAGTTTGCCAGTGACCTAGTCAAAGTGATGGTTAGAAATAAGTTCTTCTCGACTAATGAAAGAAGTAGTCTATTAAAAAGTGGGGGTATGTTCATGTGTGAAGCCACAGTCTCAGGTACTGATGGTTGTCAACCATTCAGCCCTTCCACCATTTCAGAGCTGTCAGAGTTGTCTCAATCAAATAAGTGCCTATTTCTTTCCAATTAGAAACCCTCATTAAGGCAACGTTTCAGTTCATTTTTTACAAGACATGGAGAAGTATGGTCATGGAACAGGAAGTGTGCGTATGTGTGTGCGCAAGTGGGAAAGAATGAGTATGTGATTGGGAAATAAATGTCTGTGAGAAAGCCTGAAAATGAATGCAGCTGTCAGATTAGCATAAAAACAGCTATCTTCATGAAAAATTAGACAAGGAGCTCTGCTAGTGTGTTATGCCTGTACGTGTGTGTGTGTGAGTGTGTGTGTGAGAGGGAGAAAGAGAGCGTGCGAGAGAGAGAGACAGAGTGTGTTAATATTCATAGGGGCAGGGAGTTAAACAGCCTTAGCCTGAACAATAGATTATAAATCATTCTGACTGTAATTCCAATATTTTCTTGTAAACCAGTTCACAAGGATATAAAACTATCGATAAATTTTGCATTTATTTATATATTTCTGTTGTTTTCTTCCCTCTGGCTCTTCTTCATAGTGTAGTGATTAAAGTCCGTCGCTTTACTCTCAAGTTCCTTTTCCCAATTCCGTTCCCTTATTTGAGTCAATACACATTGTCAACCATTAGCTAAAAAGAATTGCATCATTAATTAACAATAATGTGATTAACAGATGATGTTGGGACACACAGATCTATGGCAGGATTTATTGTTTTCATAAAGCATAACTTGCATTTGTAAAACATAATGAAATAACACTGTAAGCATTTCTTGTTCTCCTAATGGATAAAGCCTTATGAAGCTTGATGACTTCCACAAAGGAAAAGACATTATGTGTAATATATTTGCGAGGCAGGCGTCATTTCTTTTTCATGAAGTCTGGCGGCTACTGCTGGAAAGCCTTCTTGTTCCTCTAATGCATATCTGATGTTGGCCCCTTCACAGAGCAATCTCCAATTCGTGTAGCTCACGCTGGACTGTTGTCACTGTCTCCGAGTCCCCCCCCCCCTGCCCCCCCCGGGCCACCAAACACTTGCTCCATGCTCCAGCTTATTATAATTAAGCTCTTTTAAACCATGTCAGTGTTGGAACGCACTGGGCCCTTAAGCGTCCATTTCCCCCTCTGTCTATTCATACATTTTGACACCCACTTTATCCCAGTGACAGCTTATTTACTGTTGGTGACCTCCAAAAAAAAAAAAAAAAAAAAAGAAAACAAAAAAAAAAGTCTATACAAAAGAGAGATTGCTCATTTCAGTGGACTGGTGAGCAGATCTGGCTAGTGTCACCCTTAAGCTAAATGGATAAACAGCAAGACCGCTCACGTCAAGGCACCAAGGGTCAACAGCTACTATGTGACATGCAGATTATATAAATGGTGCCAAAACAGATTCAGGGAGTGCATATAATAAGGGTGGCGATATGTGGAGAAGCAGCCTAAAATCCACATGAGATTGCGAGAGTGGTGGAAAAACTCCTTGAGGGGCTGTTGAGGATTAAGATACATGGAGAAACATGGCTAATGCACACCTACACAGTTGTGCAGTGGCATGAAATCAGCAGACACGTGCCAGTGTAACTCCAGTGGTGGGAGTAATTATGCACTGGTTCCATATTTGTTATTTCTGCGCTCTCCTGGGACGCTGAGTCTGATATGGATCTGTTGTAGTCATTAGATACAGTAGTGTCCTGGAAATACTTGCCTGTTTGTTGTCTCTTTAATTTGACAAGAGTTTCAGTTTATTCCCCATTCACCCACTGTCTAATAAAAAAAACAAAAAAAAAACAAAAAACAAATGAAAGGACTGTATCTTGGTACAGTGAGGGGGGTTGGAGACACAAAGTGCTTAGAGGTGTAGCACTACACAATACAACCCTGAGAAACAGAAAGTAATTAAGATTTCCTTGCCTCTCGTACTCCCACATGCATTTATATCTCCTACATTCATATGCATTTCCCCGGAGACGTCATAGCGCGGAAACCGAGAGGCGCTGTGTTTCGAGGCAGGTACTGCTAGGTCTTACTCAAGGCTATTATAGACGATCAGACCTGCAGGATGAACTCCTCAACCACAAGCCTTCCCCTGTAAAAGGATAATGAATTAATCTGCCCTCGTGTTGGACTACATTGAGAGCTGGCTGCTGTGTCAGTTAACATCAAAGAAGATAAACATTGGCAGATCAAACGCTCTGCTTTCATTAAAAATGTAGCACCATCCCAAGAGTTCCCGTGCATTTGGCCAAATAGGTGTGTGGGATAGTAGACTGTGGGATCGCAAACATGGCCCGTGTGTGTGTGTGTGCATTAGAGCCCTCTTGACACTGGCTGAACTTCTGAATGTCTCAATCCATTTCTGCTGCAGTGAAGCAGGGGCGATATAGCAAACTGGCCTATATGCGCTGTGTGTTAACTAGAATGTGTAGCGTCACACGAGGAGGCGTACAGGTGTGAGCAAAGGAAGGTAGCCCTGGCTGCGCGCCTCAGTGTAGCAGCTTGCGAGGTGGTTAGGATGTACAGAGCAGGCAGCGTGTTTGACTATACGGCTCAGCTAAGGTCAGGCCCGCAGACTGTCTTTCCTCCGACCTCCAACACGGCCATTATAACGAGCCTCATATTACCACCTCTGCCGAGAAACTGGGGAGAAATCCAATCATAATTACATAGTTGTGATGGAAATATGAAAAGGAGAGATGACATTATGGATCTGCTTTCTGTCAGCACCTAGCAATTGCGTTGCTCTCTATTTGCTGCCAAGGATTCCCGTAATGACTGGTGTGCAAAAATAGATTACCCAAGATGTGGCATATAGTGTGGCTTTTTTGAAATTAATTTTTGATCATTTCCGTGAATCTCATGAATGGAATTTCAAAGTAGGATAACCTCTTTTCTCAGTCGCATCCCGTCTATATCCACATATCTTATAGACACAAACAGCTTTCAAGGTTTACTTTTAACTCATACTGTATATCTTTACAATGGAAATGAGCTCAGTGAGTGATCTGTGAAACACTTAAACTCTGACAGAAATAACTAGATGAACATTTACACAACTTGCTACGTGTTATACATCCCCAACCTATTAAAAAGGACAAAACTATATTAAGGATAACATCATTTGGTTTTTATCTTTGGTCTGCCCCCCCCCCCCCTGGGAGGAGTACAATTAAAAGAAGCTTAATGATGTCTATTGGATTACCATTTCAGTTTCCAGAGAAATCATTACCACGATTTATGAGGACACTATTATCCAATCAAACACTATCGGGATCTGTTAAAGGAGCTATCTCCGATCAATGCTCCTGAAGATTTAGTGCCATGAGGGAAAATTGTGAGTCAACGTGATCAATTTTTTTTTTTTTTTTTTCTTCCCCCTGATCTACCTTTTACCTCTCACTATATTTTACCTTTTGGGACAATTAAATGGTCTGGTAGCCGAGGAGATGAGGTGGTAAATAGAATATTCGGTTATGAGCCAAAGCGTTCAAACTCATAGCTAATTAAATGTCTTTTCAGCTGCATGTTCTAACTTGGCAGCGATTACAAAGCTGTGAATTACGGAGCCGGTCAAGTAGGGGCACCGTTCACACAGACTCAGTGTATGATTAAATGGTACATCACACCCCATGATCCAAAATAATGATGCCAATACACTGACATCTATCTACAGTATATACTCTACGGATTCTTGTTTTTCCACAGTATCATTCCTCTCCAGGTTTTTTTTTTTTTACCAGTATCACAATTATTCAAATCTTTTGTGACATGCACCAGCAACAATAGAAGATGGATTTGATCATTTAAATGTAAGTGGATTACATGTCTCATAAACAATATTTTTCCTGTTAGCCAGTCTCGTAGTAATTTCAACTGGCAAAAGAATCGCAGGACACAGCGATTTCAGCTTTCAGGTTTGATCTCAAGTACATTACGTGATTATATTTTACCTGCGTGTGTGTTGTTTGTTTTCGACAGATCTCGGAGGGTGTAAAAGAGAATCTACGGCTTTGTTTCCCAGTCACTTCCTGTTATTTTTAATGAATGTAGAACCATGAGTCACACCATTCAAGTGGCTGTGCACGTCGCAACCAAGGACAAAAAGTTCTCCTGCATTAGAGAGTTGTTCAACACTTTCAGTGCTGTCAATACAGTTATATATTGTTACATATATAGCATTGTT